GGACAGGTGGGGGGGGCTGGGGACAGGTGGGGGGGGGTCGGGACAGGTGTGGGGTCGGGGTCACGGCCATGTGAGGGACGTGTCGCCACCGCTGCTCCCCTCACATCCCGCGGGTGTGACAGTGTCCCCAGACAGGCGTCGTTCGCCCCTCACACCCTACAGGCGTCATCTCCCCACCGCCCTCAGACCCCACAGGTGACCCCACCCCTCGCGGGCTCCATTTTCCCCTCGGACACCTCCTGGGTCCCGTTCTTTCCCCTCATCCAGGGGGCTGCATCCCCCCATTGCTCCCCCCCATCCCCCAGAGGCTCCATCCCCACCATGGCCCCTCACGGCCCCCATCGCCCCCCGCCCGCCGTTTTCCCGCCACACCTTGCCGCCTACAACTCCCGTCATGCCCCGGCACTCCAGCCTACAACTCCCGTCACATCCCGCGACTCAATAAATAAAAATATAATTTGCCTACAACTCCCGTCACGCCCCGCGCGCGGCGTCCCGTCCCTTTCCCTCACGTGAGCGGCGGCGCGCGCTGGGTGCGGAAGCCCCCGGTGTCCCCAAGACCCCCCCGCCCCTCCCGCGGAATTTGGGGACCCCCCCGCCCCCCCAGCCATGGAGGAGGTGGACAAGATCCTGATCCACTCCCTGCGCCAGGCGGGGACGTGAGTGCGGCGGGAACGGGAGCGCTTGGGCGGGGGGAGCCCGAGGCGTGGGGACCGGGGGGGGTCGGGAGAACCTCGGGGGGGTCTCCGGGGGGGGCACTGAGGAATTTGGGGAGTCTGAGGGGGGGAAGCTGCGGAAGGGCGGAGGGGACACCCCGATGGAGATTTGGGGGGGTCACTGAGGGGACCCCGGGGAGTTTGGGTGGGGGTCCCTGGGGGAACATCCTGAGCGAGCGGTGGGGGCCTGGCTGGATATTTGGGGGTCCCTGAGGGGGAGTTTTGGGGGGGGTCTCTGGGGGACACGAGCAGTTCTCGGGAGTCTGGGGGAACACTGAAGATGGGGGTGACCCCGGAGTGTGGGGTTCGGGAGTGCTGCCCCGCAGGGAGGGGGGCTGTCAGGGTTTGGGGGGGCTGTCAGGGTTTGGGGGTGCTCAGGGGGGTCTCCACGGCCGTGCCCCCCCGCAGGGCGGTGCCCCCCGAGGTTCAGAGCGTGCGGGACCTGACCCCCGAGCTGGTGGTGGAGGCGGCCGTGCGGTGCCTCCGGGCCGTGCGCCCCGCGCTCGGAGCCCCCCTGAGCCCCCTGCTGCCCCCCGGCATCTCCGCGCGCTTCCGCCTCGCCTCCGACCTGGCCGCGGCCTGCCAGGTACCCCAGAACCCGGGGACACCCCAGAACCCGGGGACACCCCAGAACAGGGGTACACCCCAGAACCCGGGGACACCCCAGAACCCGGAGACACCCCAGAACCCGGGGACACCCCAGAACAGGGGGACACCCCAGAACCCGGGGGACACCCCAGAACCGGGGGCTCCCCTCCCCCGGGAGCCGCGGTTTGCGGGGGATTCGCGGTACCGAACCTCGGTACCCCCCGCGAGCCCCCCAATCCTCCAAGGGGGGACCCCCAGCGATGTCGGGGCGCCCCCCAAGGCTCGGCCTCCCGCAGGAGCTGGGATTTGGGGGTGACGTGGGCTACCAGACGTTCCTGTACAGCTCCGAGCACGACACGCGCCGCCTGCTCCTCTTCCTCGTGGAGAAGCTGCCGCGGGACGAGGGCGAGCGCGGGGCCGAACCCCCCGGTGCGGACCTGGGGGGTGTCTCCGGGGGTTTTGGGGAGCCGCGGGGGGGGGGGGGGGATCGTGAGGGGCCTGACCCCCCTCGGTGTCCCCCTCCCCAGGGAAATCGGGGGCGCTGCTCCGAGCCATCGGCGCCCAGATCCGGGAGCAGTTGGGGACCCCCTGGGTGCCCCCCGTGTGCCGAACGCCGCGGCTGCAGCGGCTGCAGGTGAGGGGGGGTCCCCTCCTCATGTGGGGGAGTGATGAACCCATTCATTAACCCATTAATTAACCCATTAATAAACCCATTCATTAACCCTCTCCAGGGTACAAGTCACCTGCACCCCTTCAGCACCTGTCCCCTGGTCCTGCCCCAAAGCGGGGGGTCCCCAGGTAGGAGCCGGGGGGATTTGGGGGGGGGTCGTTGCTGCCCCAGATTTGGGGAGCTCCGTGTGGAATCTGGGGGTGTCACCCCGAGGGTTTGGGGTACGGGAGTGCTGCGCCCCACAGGAAGGGGGTGTCGGGGTTTTGGAGGTTCAGGATTTTGGGGGGGGGGGGGGGGGGGGGGATTTTTGGG